TTGGTAGAGTTAAACTATTTNCATTAAAACATCAATCATCAAAAACAAACAGTTACATCCGTTTCACAGCATCCACAAACAAACTTTCAATTTCAGTTATCAAAACAATCTTTTATATCAATTCCTACGTAAAGTTTACTTCAGTTCATTAGAACTCTCAGAATACCCTTTCATAAACAAATTTCATGGTTTACTCAACATAAATTCATGTTAACTAATTCTCCGTGAAGTGTTAATTCAAATCTATATCAAAATCATTGACACATTGTTAGCACAGACGAAATATCTGTTAACGAGGAGAAAATGCAAATATGAAAACGATGAATGAAACAGCACGTTATCTGTCTCCGAATATGAATCAGAAATATTGATTGGTTGAATTGTGATACAAATTCAAAATTATTGTTTCAAGCTTTAATTGATCATTTTTTATTTCTGGTGAATGTAGAACTCGCAAGCTCTCCTTAGTACCTCTTCTACAATTATTCAGAGTATCTCTCTATTAGAGGCTAAGATTTTCTGATTAATGTGATAAAAACACTTTGTAGCATTAAGATTAAAGTGGTCAACTTGCTTCCATATGAAACAGCGATGTTATAGAGTTTGTCCTTTAATGTTCCTGATTTCAAGCTGTTAGAGAAACACCATAGATCACTGAGATTGAGGTGGTCAACAAGCTTCACATGAAATATTACTCTTTACTTGTAATCTAGAGTTCAAAGATCTCCAATTCTGTCAGAGCACTTTGTACCACTGCAGAGATCCTTAGACTAATAATACATAAAATCCAAAACGTTCACTTCAATCCAAATGCCAGATGATGCTCTTTACTAGCTAGAAACTGTCCAATCTCAAGGTGTAATGGTATACGATTACCTCCAACAGACCAGCAAACTTCTCTTGAAACTGCCCTGAAATAGAGAAAATATAACACAATTAAATACATTGTTTGATAAATCAAGTCATGCTCACTCTTCCTGAACACCAGAGGCCATTCTGGGACTGAGTTTTTCAACTAGAGGTTTGCCTGCTTTGGCCCCACCATTTCAAATTTCATATCAATATACATAGGGAAAAAAATTGCTTGTAGACCCCCCTTGGAAAGTCTGTGTGCCCGACTTGCCCCTTCTTTAATGATTGGAGAAACGCCACTGCCACAACACAATATGAAGGCACTCAACTCTCCGCACAATTTCAAAATTTACAAAAAAAAAATGTGAAAAAAAAGGTGAAAAAAAGAATGTTTTTCATTATTTCTACTGTTTTTACATATTTAGCCCTCAGAGATTTCAATATTCCTACAGTATTAACATTTCTAGCCCTCAGAGATTTCAATATTCCTACAGTATTAACATTTCTAGCCCTCGGAGATTTCAATATTCCTACAGTATTAACATTTCTAGCCCTCGGAGATTTCAATATTCCTACAGTATTAACATTTCTAGCCCTCGGATATTTCAATATTCCTACAGTATTAACATTTCTAGCCCTCGGATATTTCAATATTCCTACAGTATTAACATTTCTAGCCCTCGGAGATTTCAATATTCCTACAGTATTAACATTTCTAGCCCTCGGAGATTTCAATATTCCTACAGTATTAACATTTCTAGCCCTCGGATATTTCAATATTCCTACAGTATTAACATTTCTAGCCCTCGGATATTTCAATATTCCTACAGTATTAACATTTCTAGCCCTCGGAGATTTCAATATTCCTACAGTATTAACATTTCTAGCCCTTGGAGATTTCAATATTCCTACAGTATTAACATTTCTAGCCCTCGGAGATTTCAATATTCCTACAGTATTAACATTTCTAGCCCTCGGAGATTTCAATATTCCTACAGTATTAACATTTCTAGCCCTCGGAGATTTCAATATTCCTACAGTATTAACATTTCTAGCCCTCGGAGATTTCAATATTCCTACAGTATTAACATTTCTAGCCCTCAGAGATTTCAATATTCCTACAGTATTAACATTTCTAGCCCTCGGATATTTCAATATTCCTACAGTATTAACATTTCTAGCCCTCGGAGATTTCAATATTCCTACAGTATTAACATTTCTAGCCCTCAGAGATTTCAATATTCCTACAGTATTAACATTTCTAGCCCTCAGAGATTTCAATATTCCTACAGTATTAACATTTCTAGCCCTCGGAGATTTCAATATTCCTAGAGTTTTAACATTTCTAGCCCTCGGAGATTTCAATATTCCTACAGTATTAACATTTCTAGCCCTCGGAGATTTCAATATTCCTACAGTATTAACATTTCTAGCCCTCGGAGATTTCAATATTCCTACAGTTTTAACATTTCTAGCCCTCAGAGATTTCAATATTCCTACAGTATTAACATTTCTAGCCCTCGGATATTTCAATATTCCTACAGTATTAACATTTCTAGCCCTCGGAGATTTCAATATTCCTACAGTATTAACATTTCTAGCCCTCGGAGATTTCAATATTCCTACAGTATTAACATTTCTAGCCCTCGGAGATTTCAATATTATCTTGTTTTAATATAAAAATAAAATAACTTCATCTTAATTTAATAATAAACTCAATCTTACTAAGTTTTTAATGTCAAAGATATTTGAAATGTCAGGCAACATTGATGTGTTTTAATATTTAATTTTTATTTTCCCCTCTGGGTATTTCATAAATTTGATATTTTTTTTGGAGAACATGAACTAAAAGGTTATTATGAAAAAAAATAGCTGATATGAATTATGTTATCAGAGATTGAACAAACCCACACAAATTGAAATCAAAGAGAAAATAAATAATGAACTTTTAATAACAAAGAAGTTATTAAAGGTTAAAATGCTGATTATTTGTATTTTTAGACTGTTTAGTACTTTCAAAAAAACGCAATATCAGAGTTATAAAATTCCTAGTTTATAATCCAATAAGTAGTATCCTTCTAAACAAAATTCAGATCAATTCCAAAAACTAAATGGATTCATCAAACATAGCGTACTTACAGATTTTATTAAAATACTTTTTGACAAACATTATCTGCCTTCAAAAAATAGTGTTCTCAAAAAATTCAGTTATTTGTCAAACATGGTATTCAGGGATATTATAAACGGAGTACATGTCGTCATAGATAGTAATTGACTATTATTATCTCCCTTTAAAAACAGCTTTTCTTCAATTTTAATGGTTTTTCTCAAAAAATTAAATTCTATTCCTTAAACATGGTATTCTTACAGAGTTTATAAATAAAACAGGGTGCCTACATGTTGTCATAAACTAATAATTGACTTACATTATCTCCCTTTAAAAAATAGAGAGTTACGATAATTTTTGTTGAAACGCCACATTTCGCACGTCACCAAATAATTACAGCCTCAATTTGAAATGCCTTTATCAACGTAGTCAAAAGAATGAAAACATTCGTCAAAAAAAAAAACCAAAACAGAATGATGTCTGTTTTTCAATTACGGCAAAAGAATAAATGTTCTGAAAAGATTCCTGATAAAATCATTGAAATGGATTTTAACAGAGTTTTTGTATCCCCATGACGATAAAGCGTAATAACCCATTTATCATTTATGTCACATGGTATTAAAGTTCGTAAATTAAAATCCGTGCAACATATTGCCACGACATCTCAGTTGCTGTAACTGGCCATTTTTTTAAACTGTAAAATTTAAAGAGATTTTATAAACTTTTTATGTGTATTGGAGACACTGATATCATCGATTCGGTTTCAATTTTCAATCAGACTACTGAGAATCTTGCAATTCTTAAACTAAAGCCTCTCATAATATCTTCGGACCTGCGCAACAGTGACATCATAAAATACTTAATTTTAGTGAAATTGCAAGAACCAGAGATGTCTGAATGGTGAAAATCAATGCTATCAGTGTCCCCCATACACATAAAAAATTTAGAAAACCTCTTTACAATTCCTTTCAATCATTTAAGCTTATCTTTCCATTACAAATAAATCTGATTTCTATAAAAACTCATCTTATTTTTAACTAATCCTTTTCTAAATTAAAATCTTTAAAATCATTTCTGCTGAAAATGAATCCTCCGGCAGGAAAACTGCTGACAGAAAATTTTAATAACATTATAATCTTTCCTTTTTTCATTATCTCAAAATGATTTTACCGAACATGTTTTCTGAAATTTTGCTTGTAAATATAAGACTAAGATCAATAAGAGCAATTTTCCATCAAAGACTTCAGATAATGAGTTTACTATGTACTGATGGATTATAAACACTTTTAAATATCAAAGGTCTGGAATATTACATTATTTATAAATTTATAGGTTTGGATACAAACTAGTTCTATAAAACATGGAATCAAGTCATCTTTCTAGTCAAAAAACATGGCCAAGTTTCCAAATGACAAACCAGAAGTCAAAGGTGACAAAATCAATGAGGTAGACATGAAATGAGTCGAATAGTCATCCTGGATCATTCAAGATGATAAAATCAATGAGGTAGACATGAAATGAGTCCAATAGCCACCCTGGATCATTCAAGATGATAAAATCAATGAGGTAGACATGAAATGAGTCCAATAGCCATCCTGTATCATTCAAGATGATAAAATCAATGAGGTAGACATGAAAGAAGTCCAATAGCCATCCTGGATCATTCAAGATGATAAAATCAATGAGGTAGACATGAAATGAGTCCAATAGCCATCCTGGATAATTCAAGATGATAAAATCAATGAGGTAGACATGAAATGAGTCCAATAGCCATCCTGGATCATTCAAGATGATAAAATCAATGAGGTAGACATGGAAGAAGTCCAATAGCCATCCTGGATCATTCAAGATGATAAAATCAATAGACATGAAATGAGTTCAATAGCCATCCTGGATAATTCAAGATGACAAACTCAACGAAGGTAGACATGTAATGAGTTCAATAGCCATCCTGGATCTACATCAGCAATGGCAAAATGAGAAACCAGCAACTACCAAGTTGATTTGTTGGAGGCAAAGAAACAGAAACTGTAGTTGTGGAGAAAACGATGACTTGAAAGTCATTAACACCATATAAATAATCGCGAAAGACTAATCTCCCATAATCCTCTGTAACATCTGGGGTAGGTATTTATCTTGAATAATGAAAGATTATAAACTGAATTCTATCTCGCTAGGGATCTTCGCAAGTTTGAACACTTTCAGATTTAAATATTTTCATACATTGATAAGACTACAGCTCAAACCAAATTGAAACAAAATTAAAATTATTATTCACAAATTAATGCTCTTAAATTTTCAGATAGCTTTAGATATGATGAATTTTTTTGGGGGTGTGGGTTGGAGTATGTGTGTTTTTTGGGAGGTGTCGGGATTTGGGGTGTGGTTTGGGATGTGTGTGTGTGGGTATTTTTTTGGGGTTGGGGGAATTTCACCTGCTCAGTCTGTTAGAGCATAAAAACTGAGTTTTTGCTTGGTTGCATTATCTACTCTCTTATCGAATTTACAATCCCAACACCATAAGTTTATTTTGAACCACAGGCGTATTGTATTGGTGTTAATGGAAGCTGTAAGTGTTAAGCTAGAAAACTTGATGCTAAGGAATGATACAGACAATTCGAGTCAATAAATCTGGTCTATACAATTATGTGAAGTCATTAGCTGTGATGTAATATTTGATTTACTTTCTTGAAAGACTGGATAATCAAATAATGATAATACTCACAAATTATTCATATCCTATTATCCAGTAAGAAATATTACTACCTTAATATTGTTGATAATTCAGATTTATTACTAGTTGTGGTTGTGAAAATGTGACATAAAGCACTAAATCAACTGACTCAATCCCAAGACCACAAGCCTTCTACGTTCTGGTATGAATATCTTGATTCAAACCTCCGACTCAGTGGCAGCGCTGGTCTCCTGACACTGGGGGAGGGGGAGGGAGTGGGAGTAGAGGGAGGGGGGGGGTACAATTAGGGGGTAGGCTCAATTGGGGGACAACTGTCAAGACTTAATTCAATGTGTAGTGTCACATAGAGCAAACTTTAAAGACATCTTTTGAATTGATTTGGTGCATTCTGACCCAAAATAAGTGGGGGTACCAATAGGGGTGCAAACCATTTTTCTAGTGGTGCAAATGCCCCTTCCTGCACCCCCACTGGCGCCGCCATTGCTCCGAGCCTTCAAGAGTCTACCAAGCATCTGCTTTCACTATCTAACTCATCAGACTTTGCTGAATCAATAACTTTAAGATAAAATATTGTGTCAAATGAAATAAATGGATTCCTCCTTCAAAGACTACAAAATTAACGGCTTACAATATCATTGAATTTCATCTTTCTACGGAAATTTGAACTCATCAGGGATAAAATATTTTCAATTCTGTTAAAATATTGTTTCTAAACTTCAGACAACAAAGATATCAATTTTAGCACGAGGGGAGAAAAAGAAATCTTGCCACAAGACGGTAATTATCTTTGTGCATTGAAGAAAAACAAACCAAAAGACATCACAAACAGATTTCAAATATTTTGAGGTTTCAGTTTAAACCATTGTACACAATTTACATATTTGAATTTTACTCTTTTCGATTGTATTTGAAGAAGGTTGAAAAACGTCTGTTTATCAAAAAATATAATCGAACGATTTATAACACTGATTCAAGATTGGTATAACAATTGACCAATAAAAAGACTTAGAACATTAACCCTGTAGGTTCGAATCCTCCTCAGGATCAGAAGGTTCTGACACTACCACCAGTGCCCTCAAGAGCCTGCCCAGTGTTGGCTTTCAATCCTCATCACAGATATAGTGACTTGTTCCCAGACACAGGTTCAAACCACACTTGGTAATTGACCAACCACTATATTCAAAGAGTTTTATTAGCTGCTACCAAAATGTTGTTTTGGATTTCAGGTGTCGTTTTGTGATTCGGAACTCGGTTTATTTATTCCAGCAATTAGCTTAATCAATTTACCCGTAGAAACCTCGTTAACTCAACACCTGTTTTATATACCGTTAACTTGACCTCAACATACCTGAATTTATCTAATATTGAGTCATTATTTTATTGATTGGTTATCAGTTGTCAAACTTTGATGATGGAAAAAAACTCAATTTTCTTAGTGATATCCAATTAAATTCTCAAATATCAAGATCTCAACTATTCTAAAAGTTTGATGATGTCAATAATTCTCTTTGTCTTGATTTAAAGTAGGTTGATGGCTAATAAAATCTCTCATAGTCACGTGTTTCAGACATAAAACCATTCATCAGGACAGCTGGTTTGTATGGGCAGAAAACATTCTAGATAACTACACAGAACCTTGAGGTATTATTTTTCATCATTGACTCATAGAAACTCAAATCAAGTTTGGAATCAGCTGGCTTGAAGACAGGTGTTAAATTTCCAATAATTGCACTTTTAATTCAGTACTGCAGATAAATGTAAATAGTACAGCTGCTTTGGAAACATTTTATATTGAAAAGAACCTAATAATTTAAAATATTTCGACTTTGAACTTATTCTGTCAATAAAACATTTCAAAATATAACACTCTTCACTAGAATATAGTTTATTTAAGATCAATATTTGAGACCCACAGAATTTAACCTAACCTAACCTAACTCTTAAGTTTTTGGATATCATATCATATCTTTTGTTACAGAAACACATTTAATATAAAATTCATTATCAGTATATAGCTTATTTAATATCAATTGATGTTGATTCAACCATGTTGATGTTAAATTGGCGCCAAAGAGTTCAAATCATTCAATCATCATTTGAGAGTTGAATCAGTTCAGACTAATTCCAGGAATATCAGCATGTATAAAAAAAGTTGGCACCAAACATGCTAAATGAAGGATGACCCATAGTAAATTCTGTATGATCTTAATGGTGAGGGGTAAAGGTTGTCAGTAGGGGAGGGAAGGGGAGGGTTGGAGGGGGGGAGGGGAGGAATGCAGTAGATTAAAGGTTGGCACCAAACCATGCTAAATGAGGAATGGCCATTATGAATTCTGTATGATCTAGTTGGTGAGGGGTAAAGATCAATAGACAGGGATATAGAAGATTAGTGTATTTATAATGTAGATTGTCAGGGGTAAAGATCAATAGACAGTGATATAGAAGATTAATGTATTTAGAATGTAGATTGTCAGGGGTAAAGATCAATAGACAGGGATATAGAAGATTAATGTATTTAGAATGTAGATTATCAGGGGTAAAGATCAATAGACAGGGATATAGAAGATTAATGTATTTATAATGTAGATTGTCAGGGGTAAAGATCAATAGACAGGGATATAGAAGATTAATGTATTTAGAATGTAGATTGTCAGGGGTAAAGATCAATAGACAGGGATATAGAAGATTAATGTATTTAGAATATAGATTGTCAGGGGTAAAGATCAATAGACAGGGATATAGAAGATTAATGTATTTAGAATGTAGATTGTCAGGAGTAAAGATCAATAGACAGGGATATAGAAGATTAATGTATTTAGAATGTAGATTGTCAGGAGTAAAGATCAATAGACAGGGATATAGAAGATTAATGTATTTAGAATGTAGATTGTCAGGGGTAAAGATCAATAGACAGGGATATAGAAGATTAATGTATTTAGAATGTAGATTGTCAGGGGTAAAGATCAATAGACAGGGATATAGAAGATTAATGTATTTAGAATGTAGATTGTCAGGAGTAAAGATCAATAGACAGGGATATAGAAGATTAATGTATTTAGAATGTAGATTGTCAGGAGTAAAAATAGTCAAGTTGACATGTTGTAAATCAATTGGCAAGGATACAGGTGATAAGTGTGTTTAGGGTGGTGTAGATCGTTAGTGGTGTAGATCGTTAAGAAACATTCTAATTAATGAAATGAAGAGAACTGAATGACATCTAGTTTTTATCATCATGAATATTTTAGTTCTGTAGCAATAACTATATTGATTTATTTCAATCATTTCTCAATCATTGAAATCTGTCAACTTAAAAGCTTTGATAATTTTCCACAAGTTAATTTAAATATCCAAAATCAGTGTTTAAGTTTGTAACAAGGGTTACTAGAAGGTTGTCTAAAAACAAAATCTACCAGCCAGATTCATGTTTTTGGCAAAGAAACGCCAATACCTACAGTAGCTACTTTCATATGGTTTTCACTAAAAACACAAATATTAATAGTATTTTTTTTTTTCAAATAAAATTTTAAAAAATGTTTACAAATTAAATCTACTGTTAACATATCATACTTGGCAAGAGATATTCTATATCAAACAGGACCTGACAACATGACATAACAAGCCTCATGTTATTGTCACATCAAGAATTGTAAAATAAAGACGACATTGGAATTTCTATTTTGGGATTATGCTTGAAGATAAATGTCACAGGACTTGGCTAAATAACATAAAGATATTCCAGAGGGAACGCCAATCTCTCGAACTCTTCCAATATTCAAAATATCAACAATCACTTGAGACAAAAAGCTGTTACGCATGAAATATTTCGGCATATTCCATATACAGATAATTTGTGATAAAAGCCAGGAGTCTGTAGAGAATTTCTTCGTGCAATCAGTCTGTATCTCACAGTGTTTGAAAAATATCAGAAATTAACTATTTCATAAGACAATCAACTACAAACTAAAATTTGCCATGACAGATGTATTAATTTGTGTCTTTTACTATCTAATTGTTAAACACAGACAGAAAAAACACTTTATTTTCTTAACATTGACACCTGAGAGTTCTCCACAAATACAAATGGTTTGAAAATGCTAATAAATTCTCGCAGTCATAACAAACAAATGTCCACTTCATAGAAAGTCTAAAAATTCTCCAAAAGGAGTTCTAGCCATCAAAATTATTTAAGTTGTCCAACTAATCACTTGAAATGATTTGACAGACAAAAACATCTTGTACAATATTAAACAGATGACTTCTTCCTACTATTCTCTTTAAAAAAAATAGTTCATTATGGCTGAACTTTGGTTCCACGTGTTCAAACATTTATTTAAAAAATCTCACAAAATGACATGAAATCTATTTCAACAACTCACTTGCTCCAAAAGATCCTAATTCAATAAACAACAAGTTGGAAAGAGTTACGACATGTTAAAACAGTTACAATAGAAGATGGACAGGTTACCACGTTCGTTTCATGAAAAATATATGTAACCAGTTATTCACAGAACCATAAAGAAATCCTAATTCGATTATCAGAAAGGTCAAAAGAGTTTTATTGTGTTAATACCAACAAGATTGAGAGCTTTCCAGATAATTTTAACTTGACAAAAAAATATATTCTCTAAAATCAAAGTTACATCAAACCATTGTAAATCAATATAATTATCTAACACAAATCACAAGATTCAAAAATAAAGCTTAAATCAATTGACAAAAACTTTAAAAGATTCACATAGTGTAAAAACTAGATAAACTTGACAGCTTATCAAAATGGTAAAACTTAAAAAAAAACTTAAGGAAGTGAACAATTACATTAAACAATATAGAATTAATACAGATATTCACAAGAAAGAGTAATACACTTGACAGAATCTTCAAAAGATTTACATTGTGTTAAAAACGAACAAGATACAAGATGACAGCTTACCATGCAAATTCCTCATAAAAATAGAATTTCCACAAACAAGAGTAATATCAAACAATTTTAAAATTAATAAATTTTTTCCTGGAAATTCATTTGATTCCAAAAGCGTAATTCATTTGACAGGAAAGTCAAAACAGAAACATCCCATAAAAAAAATATCTGAGAAATCCACAATCGCATTAAAAAATGAAAATTAATGAATTTTTCCAGTATTTTCATCCAAAGAAAACGTAATTCACTTGACAGCAAGATTACAAAATACAAAATATCTGTATCACAGCTTGTCATGATAAACTGAAATAAAATTTCCTGTGACGTCAAAGTTTAGAAACAGTTACTTTCTGTTAAAACACAGTTGGCATTGGCTACACTAAAATAGAATAGTTCACGAGCAACATCCCCACCCCCACGCCACGAAAAACATACAGGAGAGCATATATTTAAAGATAATTCCACAGCGAGGGGCCCAAACTCACTTAAGTCCACAGGCCACCACAGATCAAGTTGAGACACTGACAGTTGGCTAGATATTCCCACAAACTAAGTTGATAGAAGTTGAAAGCAAATACCAGGTTGACTCTCTGAAGCAATGGCACTGACTCTTGATTTATTCTAACCTTCAGGATGATTTGTTTTTGTGAAATATAAGAGAAAATAATTCTCAAAACTACAATATAGAAAATCATACCTTAGATTAAAACTTGGAAAATATTCAATTAAAAAAAAAGAACAACTTTTAGACTTTTCTACAAAAGATTTGAATGTAATGTTTACCACTCGTTATGAATAAATATTAACAACACTTAAAAATAATTCTAAAACCAATCAAAACACTGCTTTTCGACTTTTCTGGATTATATCTGAATTAACTATTTTTAACTCGATAATGGATAAATATTAAATAAAAGAGGCAAGCAATTGTTTTGTTCTATTTTACGATAATTTAAAGAACAATTTATCACTGGGTTTCAACGACATGTAAAATATGTTATCAATCATTTACAGCCATGTGAAGAGAATTTTCAATCGATAAAAAAACCTTAAAAATAATGTGGCAACAAAGAGTTTGTTACATTTTTATAGTTGGTTAGAGAATCAGAATATGTAATCATTTGCTTGGTTGTGTAAAATAATCGTGGTCATGGGTTATAGTCTTAATAAGTGAATCAAAGTCTGGTGACCTGGTGGCTAAGTAATCTTTCCTTATTATTCCAGCCAATCAGCTGCAAATGGGATTAAAAGGAAAGATCAATGCCAAAAGGTTTGATTAAGGACAAGATTGTAGACAGGATCCTGGTGAACCAAAGATGTTATCCTTAAAATTGTTTTTTAGTTTTTCCTTTCATAAAAAGTCTTCTAGCTTCAGACATTTGACAATTTGTCGTTCACAATGTCTTTTTTCTTGACAAAATCAGTCATTGAGAAAATTAAACTGCTCTAGATTCGATTTAACCAAGAATTCTTCATTTTGTTATCAACAACAGGTTAAAATAAATTATATTGTTTTCTCAGAAAGATTATTTGTTAGCTTTTAATTCAAATGTTTGCTGAATCTAGATTATCATTGGCTTCAGACATATTGGGGTTTGCCATGCCCCATAAAATGACATCAGAGGTAATTTAACATGAAGTTATGAACCTAATATTAGCAGTAATAACTATACCATAATTAGTGATGTGAACTCTCCAAAAGGGATTGTTTTCACATTTCATTAACAGAGTAAAATGACAGATTTTTCAGTCATAAATCTTTCAAATTTAATCAACAAACAAAATCTCAGAACTCAAATATAAAAACAAACAAATCAGAAAATTGCAATTTTTTGTCAATTCTGAAAATCAATAGGTTTATTGTATGAATGAAAGTTAATATAAATTTCATATTACTATAATGTCTCTTTTTAAATAGAAATTTAAAAGTGGAAGGAAAATGAAGCTGTGGGGGTATCAACGCCATTATGAAATGAGATTTGATTAGGTTTATTAAATTTTCTTTGAATACAACGACTGTCTGTTACTCAGGTTTTATCAACTTTACAAATTACGCCTAATTCACAATTTTCAAATATTCAGAAATATCACGACATAAATACAGAGTTTAAAAATTCAAATAAAGTCACAAGAGATGAATTGAGATTCATGTTAAGTAACGAAGAAGTGCCGGCCAACAGACAAAAAGGCGGCACGTTTGACTTCTGTGAAATAAACTGTCATCACTTAAACGATGTTTGTGTAAAAAATTAATATCTTATGGTTACTAATTCTTGCTTGTATAATTAAATGGCCCGGTCATGCAACAAATTATGAATTGAGCACCAATAAGTGTCAGATTGAAATGAAATGGAGTTTTACTTCTTTCTGCACCATGTGGGCTAATGAAGATGGGCAACGCCATGCAGAGTGTAATGACTATGAGGGAAATTTTTCCCAAATCCTTAGATTGAAGGGTTGAAGAGTTGAAATATATTGCCATGGAGATCTTTGCAACGCAAAAGTTAGATTAAAATGAAATGACTGAAGTTATATGTCCTACGTTTCTGCACCATGTGGGCTAATGAAAACGGGCAACGCCATGCAGGGTGCTATGAGAGAAATTTTTTGCCAAAACGTTAGATTGAAGAGTTGAAATATGTTGCCAGGGAGATTCAAACCGCTTTTCACCTTTCCTTCATGGCTATCAACTGACATTTACCAGATTGATCAAATTTGTGATTGGGTAATATGCTTTGTATGGAAGTTTAATACTCAACTCAAAAACCTAAAAATTCATATAATATTGTCAGTCAAATTTTTGCCAGTAAGTTTTTGTTGAATGATGGAAGAACTTGATATTGCATTTGAATTCTGAAAAGAGACCAACTGATAAAATATTTAGAAAGAAATGCCCCTTTAACAAAGCAAATTTAAAAGTGCAAACTGCACAACCTGGAAGAGAAACCATAAATCATCCTGGAACTGTCAACCTTTCTTTGTAGTACCTGTTCCATATCAGACTGGTACAACATCCATATATCATTATCTTTATAAACATTGTGTCAATATGTATCATTGTTTTAATATCTCTATCATTGTGTCAATATGTATCATTGGAATAATATCTCTATCATAACCATAGAAACAACATAACAGTGTCAACAATAACCTGATATCAGGAAATGTTAGACAAGTGGAATTCTTTTTCTTGTTGACATGGAATCAGACAATGACAATCACCGCTTCCTGTTCTGTGTCCTTATCTCGCCTTACTTTATGTCCTACTTTTCTAAACCTGTCTGGGCAAATTGTGGACAGACACTACCATGCAGAGTATATTGAAGGAAATATTGCCAGGACGGGGCTTATGCTTTCTTTTATTGCTTTCCAACTGTGCATTTTTTGTAGCAAACAGGGCTTCTGTTCTGTATCTTATACATATTAATGTTGAAATATGAGATAATGAAATGAAATAGAGTTTTATATCCTACTGTTCTGTATCTTATTGGACTAATGAAATGAAATAGAGTTTTATATCCTACTGTTCTCTTATTGAACTAATGAAATGAAATAGAGTTTTATATCCTACTGTTCTGTATCTTATTGTACTAATGAAATGAAATAGAGTTTTATATCCTACTGTTCTGTATCTTATTGAACTAATGAAATGAAATAGAGTTTTATATCCTACTGTTCTCTTATTGAACTAATGAAATGAAATAGAGTTTTATATCCTACTGTTCTGTATCTTATTGGACTAATAAAATGAAATAGAGTTTTATATCCTACTGTTCTGTATCTTATTGGACTAATGAAATGCAAGGGTGGGAGGCTGCCCTCCTTTCGCTCTGCCAATGATTGAAACCCATCAAATATTCTCAAAAATGAAACCTAATCACAAAGCCTGGCCCTAACAAAACATGGAATTGTAAAAATCAACTATTTCAATAGCAACTTACTTGTCAATTCAAATTCAATTCTTAACGTAAAAATCCTTTCATCTGATTTTCATTTTTCAAATAATTCTTAGAAATAAAACCAAATCAAAAACTACTGGACTAATGAGACACGAAATTAACAAAGCTTTGTGAGAAATCAGTTGATAAAATTCCAATTAGACGTGTCTTACAAATTGACGTGAAATAAATGAGATAGTGGAGTAAATATTGTTTATCATGATTATTATCAAGATCTGTATGATCAAACTGATATCACTAGTAGAAATTATCAGGAATAATACCCTTCTTACTTCCGTATCAAAACAAACCTTGATGAAATCCATTTCATAATATATAGTTTTCTAAACTCGAGAACATGCATGAATTCAAATCTATTAATTCTGTTATTGATTCAGAACAATTTTTCTGTATAATTCTGATATTACAAGTAGAAAATTATCAGGAATAATTCGTCTCTTACTTCCGTATCAAAACAAACCTTGATGAAATCATTTTCATAATTATAGTTTTCCAATAATATTTAGAAACAAGAAAAGAACGAATTTTTATGTTTTCAATTTGATATTCGATTAATTATCCTTTCATTTCCAACCAAAACAAACCTTGATAAAGTTTTTTGAAATAACTAGAAGACAGAAGAAATAACTTTTATTTATTCTGTTGTTATTTCAGAATGATTTGTGTGTAGTGATTTCAATCAATTATACAACCTCTATTATCTATCAAAACAAAACTTGAACTCTGCTTAATAATATCACAGTTATCTGCATTCATTCATTCATTCATTCATTCATTCATTCTGTATCAAAACAAAATCAGACGAATTTCAGGCAATGTAGAATATCACAGTATCAATTTGAACGACACAAACTAAGACACAGTGATTAAAATATATCTAACCAATTTAATATTTAAGCTGTGATGTTTCTGTAATTTTATTTTGACAAAGGACAACTTCATAATCAAATCATAGTTTTTTTCTCAACAAATTGGAAAAGGTGGAGTGATAAAAACCCCTACAAGCAAGACAATTCCGTTAATCAAAATCTCATCCAAAGTATGGCGAAATCAAGAGTAAAAGTTGTGTAGTAGGACAATATGAATCGAATTTTATCTTGTAACTGATATATGCTTCAAAATGTTTATCACTTTTCTATTTGCATTGCAAAAATGGTGGGTTTTTTTTGTAATGTCATGTCCATGTAAACAAAAGACAAATAGCAAAAAACATCTTAAAATGACCATGCGTGAGTAAAGCTACCAATATGGCAACTGGCAGAGATTATTGAATCAAAATCCCTGAAAATAAAACATGGATAATTGTTTATCATTAAAACATCAAAGAGATACGAGATTCCGCAAACAACATTAAATATAAAAACCATTGATTTACGGCCATTATTTACTGCTAACAATCAATTTTCTATTTTTTTTATATTTTTAATCCTTCAACTTGTGTTTTTGTGTTGAACCATTAGAAATATCAATGTATTTAGACAAAGAAATATCACAGATAAAATCATATTTTCTATCGCTCGATTTCCGCTCTAGGCTCAACATATCAGGGGATCAATAATGCTTGAAATACATTAACGCGACAATAATCACGTCTTTAAAGTTCTTCCGTCAGGAAATAAATCGTGTTAAAATAGATCAGATATAGAACTGTAAAATACAAATAGACTTCATTTTATTAAAATGATAAGAACAGATATCACCTGTAGGATATAGATCTTGTTAAAATAGATTGAATATAGAATAGTCAAGGTAAAAATACTAGTTTGACTCTATTTTATTACAATGATAAGAACAGATATCACCTGTAGGATATAGATCTTGTTAAAATAGATTGAATATAGAATAGTCAAGGTAAAAATACTAGTTTGACTCTATTTTATTACAATGATAAGAACAGATATCACCTGTAGGATATAGATCTCGTTAAAATAGATTGAATATAGAATAGTATGATAAGAACAGATATCACCTGTAGGATATAGATCTCGTTAAAATAGATTGAATATAGAATAGTCAAGGTAAAAATACTAGTTTGACTCTATTTTATTACAATGATAAGAACAGATATCACCTGTAGGATATAGATCTCGTTAAAATAGATTGAATATAAAATAGTCAAGGTAAAAATACTAGTTTGACTCTATTTTATTACAATGATAAGAACAGATATCACCTGTAGGATATAGATCTTGTTAAAATAGATTGAATATAGAATAGTCAAGGTAAAAATACTAGTTTGACTCTATTTTATTACAATGATAAGAACAGATATCACCTGTAGGATATAGATCTTGTTAAAATAGATTGAATATAGAATAGTCAAGGTAAAAATACTAGTTTGACTCTATTTTATTACAATGATAAGAACAGATATCACCTGTAGGATATAGATCTTGTTAAAATAGATTGAATATAAAATAGTCAAGGTAAAAATACTAGTTTGACTCTATTTTATTACAATGATAAGAACAGATATCACCTGTAGGATATAGATCTCGTTAAAATAGATTGAATATAGAATAGTCAAGGTAAAAATACTAGTTTGACTCTATTTTATTACAATGATAAGAACAGATATCACCTGTAGGATATAGATCTCGTTAAAATAGATTGAATATAGA